AAACATGATCATACTGCGATATATGATCACATAATGCATTATTTTTGCCATTAGTTTGACGTTTCAGCAGATTAACAGCTCTATCATTAAGCTGACAATAGAATTCTGCCGACAATGCGATAGATTCTGCAATATAATTCCGTCTTCATCATTTACCTTTCTGCTGACAAAATAAACCTTCTTTGTCTGGGCTGGCAAGCATTATGCTATATTTTTGTTCGACAGATTTAAAAAGTATTAAATTTTTTATTTGATTTATTTTTCGCGACATATAGTGCGTTCTACAATCTATTATCTTTCTTTTCTTTTCTCTTCTACGAAAACAAAACTTTCCTTCCCAAAATAGTAGCTTAAATAGATACACTAAAATTAATGTCAAAAGAAGGAACATAAAACAAAGAAAGAAAAATGGAAAGAAATTATTAGAAAATGATTATTATATTAAATATATAATCCCCCCTTTTTACATTTACAAACTAAATAATAATTAAAAACAGATTTCTCACTATGTGTCTATATATTTTTTAGAAAAATACAAGAAAATGACATTATACTACAGAAGTAACTACCCAGTATGACAGATTGGCAGCAGATATTTGCTTAGATATTGCAACAGAGCCAGTATCATCTGTGTCCGCATTAAACTCATGTTTTGCCGACAGAACCTGCCAATATAATCTGAGAACGGATCGTCGGCAGATACCGAACAGAATCTATCATTTCATAAACATTTAAATGGAATTTATCATTTAAATGGTTACAAAATGGTAAATTCTGCTTAGTTTCTGCAATCAATGTATGTCCTTATATTCTATTAGCACATTCTGTCATATTTCTGTTGATATGTCATCGACAATAGCGGGCACTTTCAAAATCTATTCTCGACAGATTTGGCTACCCGAATATGTGATATTCACATATTACGCAATCATATCACATTTACTGTATATATTGGCTATTTTCCGATAAGTAGTATACGGAATGAGTCAATAAATAAATAATGTTAGCGTAAACAAAATTTGTAAAAGTATTTTAGAAATCTTAGAGATATGGAAATAAGGAGATATGTGAGAGAGAGAGAGAGAGAGAGAGAGAATATTTACAAGCTTAGAAAACCAAGTTTCAAAGCAAAACACATTCGAAAGAGTCGCAATATACTTGCCCCAAGTGATGTTCTCTCGCTCGAGATATCTGTATAAGAGATATCAATTTCAGATCAAAGCAGGGAAATTCAATTCGTTCGTACACAACGCTCACGTGTAATATGTATGTAGGGTGTTTGAATACGATCGCAACATACGACTGTCGAATAATGAAGCGGCGTAAATGCTAGAGTGTCGCTACCATTGCAAAAACACAAAACGAAATGAAAATTGAGACTTAAAAGAGGTCCGAGTCGATTTCTCCGTTAAAAGAGGCAATGGTGTATCGTTATTGACCATTTTTAAACGTTAATTGTGTGATAAATTTTTGAATTCGTTTATTAACTTTAGAAAAGTCAAGTTAATTTGTGACATAGGATTCATGATGTAATCAAACAACGAGGAGCATTCAATAAGTACCTGATGCAATACATTTTTTCTTATTCAAGATGTTTTATTGCGGTTTTAAATACATCATATTCTTTCCTAATTCTTTAATAACAAAAACCTATTTTTAGTCTCCGTTCAATTCTATGGCCTTATGGCACCTAGATGTGAGAGCCTGTATGTCGATCCTTGCGGTATCACTCTGCTGGTCTGCCTCTCAGCCACTTTCTTACTTTGGCTATGAGTTCTTTGTCATTGCCATATTTCTTCTCGCGGATTGCATCTTTCAGAGGACCAAAGAGATGAAAGTCAAAAGGTGCAAGATCCGGGTTACAGGGTGAACTGTCGTTCCTCATCCAGAGTGGTACCGTAAAGGTATACAGGCGCTCACATCTAGGTAATGTAAGGCTATAGAATTGAATGGAGATTATGTTGAAAAATAGGTTTTAGTAGCTAAAGAATTGGAAAAAATATGGTGTATTTAAAACTGCAATAAAACAAACTTTGAATGAGAAAAAACGCATTACTTATTATTGAACGTCCCTCGTATTTATTATTATTTTTAAAAAATAAAGATTAATTTTCGAGAGCATTTTATCAATTAAAATTAAATATTTTCTCGATATTTAAAAAAGGAACGACAGAAACAAATTTTACATATAGGTAAATGTGAAATAATTAGTGGTGTTCAAACTCATACAAAATCAAATAGTAAATAACTGCTGAGAAAATCGCGCGCGCATGCTTGCCACAATAGAGAGGGAGGGAGGGAGGGAGGGAGGGAAAGAGAGAGAGAAAGGAGGGGAGAGAGAGAGAGAGAGAGAGAGAAGAAAAGTTACACACGCGCGCACGTACAGAACATAGCTTAACCAATTAAAAATCTTAATCCTCGTTTTTTCTTAAATCCTTTTATCCCCGTCATATATATTTTTCGCAACGAGTTTCTTAATGTCCTTCTCAATCTTTTTCTTTTCTTCTTTCTGCAAATGCGTTCCATTACCGCGACGTATAAGTATTACAGATAGCAACAATTTTTACCTTTAATTTAAAATTGGTTTACGTTTTCTCGCAGCATAAAAAAGCGATATAAAGTGACAAATCGTTTATGTACTTTATACATATAGACGCTACAGCTATGACGTTTGTGTATACTATTCCACTGAAATATTCCATAACGCGTTTTTATTTAGTTTCTCATTGTTACTAACTAAAAACCGGGCCACAAGAGCAGTTATGTCTCGATAAAATGCTAAGCGGCACAGCCGCGAGATACAAACGAGTTTCTTGATAGGTACGCCTTCACGCTCGTAATCTTTAAACTCTAGCACATTTGCATCGGGAACCACTTACCTCCTTGATTTTATTCGACATTTGTATAGTTCGAAGCGTCACCTGCAATAAAACGGATAAACTAGGCAATTGATTTCCAATTTCTACACTGTCTCCTTTCGACATCCTCGATAAGTCGCGATTTATAATGCACTTCAATCGAACCACCACCAATCATGCGACATATTTTAAATTTTTCTTGAACAAATGTGCGAAATTAACTCCAAGGTCTTCGATCTGCATAAAACCGGAGATCAAGCTCGTAATCCGGCGCGGCGTCCTTCACATCTACGCGCGTACAACAATTACTATAAGAAGAGTAATTTTCGAACTTTTCAACGCAATGATAAACGATGATCAAATTCACCTAATTCTGCACAACAAATATAGCATATGTATCTTCCGAGAAACAATATTCAAGATTTACGGGGATTCACATATCTTTGCTTCTTTTATTTTTTTTTACTGAAAATCAAGCAACAGACCTTGTCTGCTTCTTTCAAGAGATACTCTTAAGCTTCGCGGAACACGATATAGTTAGCTTTATCCCTGCACGCGGAATCCATGATACTCTGCCGAGAAAACTTCGGGGAAGAGCGCTTTGCTGAGCGAGAGCACGGAGAGGTCGAAACGATCAACTCCGAGAAAACGAGCGGTTAGATATATAACGTTGTAATTTGTTCTCTGATAAGGATGGTGTTGCAGATATTGTTCGTTTTCTTCTCACGCTGATTATGGCATGTTTCAGGTAAGTGAGTGTCCTTGATTGGATATAATATCTCCGCCGACTCGATCGTGCAATCGAGTCGATTGAGAATTAATGGATAACAAATAGGTTCTAAATTATTTCAATTATTGGGAAACGAACTGAATACAATCTCATACGATAAATATCAATTTCGGCCTTTTATCCACGTTATTTTTCGCACTTTGTCTATTTAATTTTAGAATGTATTATTGTTGCAGACGATTTATATAATTTTATGGCGATGCATTATACGATTTATAATTTATGAAGAATGAGAAATGAGAACCCTCAAAAAGTGTCAAACAATTGGATGATTACTTTACTTTTTATATAAGACATACTTTATTAAATTCGACGATGTCCTACGTCATTTTAATTATTATTTGTAAATTGAAGATTTTTTTGCAACAATTTTATTTATTGTTAAATATAACCGTGTTCCACTGCATGGTTTTCTTGGTTGTTTTTAAAATGTATTAATCTTCCATTCTTGCGGGATATAGAAGTCTCTCAAGTTATACCTATACATACATACATGCACATACATACGCCGCGCACGCACGCACGCACGCACGCACGCACGCACGCACGCATGCACACATACTTTACAATAATTTATTGTGTAATAATTTATGGAGAGCAAAATAAAATTTGTTACAAAATTGTTAAACAATCAGATAAATATGTAACTTTTTTATGCAGAACATATCAGTTGACTTGATCTTACCAATCTTTTCGTCATTAATTTTATTAAGCTTAAAATAAATATTTAATGTAAAGGAGAAATTTTTAGGGCCGATAGTTTGTGCGATAGTTGTAATTAGTAGATTATTATTATTCTTATCTATTAGGTCTTCAAGTCGTTTCAATATTTTTAAAAGTAACTTATTGTTAGTTTACTGAATATAGTGAATAGGTACTCTTGTTCTTCTTAAAATAATTATCAAAGACAAACGTTTGAATTAATAATGATATCGTCCATTCTTTGTAGTGTTTGGAGACTTATCTTAATTGTGTAAAGATTATAATATGCTCGTAATAAAATCGATGAATATTTTTGTATTTTGGTAATATGAGATCGGCCACATAAACGATTAATATTTCTAAACTTTTCAAAAAATTCTATTTTTTTCTTTCACAAGAAAATCATTTAGATATTGTAAGTATTCAACTATAGATAATATATATACAATAATAGATCATGCTCTCAAGACTCAAATTCATACATTCACTGAATATTATTCGTCAGTTATTATTCATCAAATTTATTTCCTTGCTGTGGAATTACGTTTTATCATCAATGTATTGCCATATATATATATATATATATATATATATATATATATATATATATATATATATATA